ACATATATGTTTCTATGCAACTCTTTTGATACTCTCTTTCTTGCATGGTATTGTTTGATTGTTGAGTTAATCTGGGCTTGCATTAAACCAAGTGCATTAATTAATCTTAATACACACACTAAGTAAGCTTAATAGGATCTTATAAGATGGGTGGCCATTGATTAAGATCCTAGACTTGAAGGGTTCTTTAAGGTTTTTCCTTTAGAAAACTTGGTGATTTTTACTCCCCAAAATCATTTTGAGCTATGATTGCCAAAGGTCCATTTTCAAGAGGTTTTATCAACTGTTTCAATACTTGTTTCCCATTCATTCCATCGTAATTTCCCAAAAATCCAAAAATATATTTACATTGCATTTTATCTCAATTAATAGTTTTAATGAAAACCCCCAACTTTACCCTAGTCAATTTGCATTTTCATGGCATTTAGTTAACTTAGGATCAATAGTTAAGGCTCCAACAAGTGAAACGACCCGAGGTTGTGCCTATAGTACAATCCTTGGTTTTAATTTTGAATTTGACCCTAAGGTGTAAGCAAGACAGGTCACATTTCAGCAACCTCCTGTCACTACTTGGGAGGAGATGAAGTTGAAGCTTAAGGAAAAGTACGTGCCGGTCAGTCACTTAAGCATGCTTTTCAACCAATTGAACAACCTCAAGTAGGGAACCTCATCGGCAGCCGACTACGTCTCTCGATACGATGACCTTCTGATCCGCAATGACTTAAATGAGCCGAGTTTTGTGGTTATTGAGAGGTTCATCAGCGGCCTTAGGGATGACATACAGAGGGAGCTCAGAGTAAACCGTCCTTACACTTTAGAGGAAGCATATCATAAGGCTATCGACATTGACTCCCTGCCTAAGTATCCCTCTTTCAGGCGTCCCAGCTTCTCTGGATTAGAGTCTCGTCCAACATGCAGCTCCACTGTTTCAGGCAATCAGCGGGTAAGTCAACAACTTTCAGGACTAAGCGCTTCTAAACCAAGAGAGTCATCAACCTCGAACACTCGCATAGGTAGCTCATCAATAGAGTGTTTCAAGTGTCACTCTAAGGGATACATCGCTTCAAAGTGCCCGCAACGTGCGTTGCTTATCGAATCTCAAGACAATGCACTACTCGAGAGCGATCCAGATGTCGTCATCGACCCTGTCGATATTCCTTTTGATGTGGACGAAGAAATTAATTGTGATGACATGCCATCAAGTCATCTTGGAGTGATGCGATGCCTCCTGACTGTCCTAACGCCAGATGACTCATGGAAACGGAACAGCATCTTCCACACCTTCATGAAGTGCGGTGATAAGTCATGCAAACTGGTTATTGATAGTGGAAGTGAAAGGAATGTGATCTCTAGTCGAGGTGTTGCTCGTCTTAGACTTAAGACAGAGCAAATTGCTAAGCCTTTCCGAGTTGCGTGGATTGACAACACTTCAGTGCTTATCACTCAGCAGTGTCGAGTCCCACTCCAGTTTGGTGACTACAAGGAGGATGTTTTATGTGTTGTGATTCCTATGGATGTGTCTCATATTCTTTTAGGACGCCCGTGGCTATATGACCATGATGTCACTATCCAAGGCCGAGCGAACAACCACATCTTCAAGCATGAGGGCAAGACCATCTTACTCCGTCCTGCAAAGCCTGAGCCTAAAGCAAAAGGTCTAATCCCCACAAAAGGATCCACTTCTAAACCTATCAACCTTCACCTCCTCACAGAAAAGCAATTCATCGAAGAAAGTAAAGAGGTTGATGTCATCCTTGCTGTTGTTTCTAAAGTCATTTCTCCTCCTGCACCAATACCTGACAACTTCCCAAAAGAAGTGACCCAACTCTTGGATAAGTTTAAAGATGTTGCACCTGAGGAGTTACCTCCTGACTTGCCACCCATGAGGAACATCCAGCATGCAATCGATTTGGTTCTAGGATCACAGCTCTCCAACCTTCCACACTACAGGATGAACCCTAAAGATCGGGAAGAGCTTAATCGTCAGGTTAACAGCTTGCTTGAGAAGGGCTATATCCAGCATAGCCTCAGTCCTTGTGCTATCCCTGCCCTTCTGACTCCGAAGAAAGACGGCTCGTGGAGAATGTGTGTTGATAGTCGAGCCATAAACAAGATAATTGTCAAGTATAGGTTCCCGATCCCTAGGTTAGAGGACATGCTTGATTTCGTGTCTGGGTCTAAGTGGTTCTCCAAACTTGATCTTCGTAGTGGTTACCATCAGATTCGAATCAGACCAGGAGATGAGTGGAAGACTGCGTTCAAGACACAAGATGGACTGTACGAGTGGCTCGTTATGCCATTTGGCTTAACGAACGCCCCGAGTACATTCATGCGAGTGATGACGCATATGCTGCAGCCCTATCTAGGAAAGTTCGTGGTTGTCTACTTTGATGACATTCTGGTTTTTAGTAAGTCCAAAGATGACCACTTGCACCACCTTAGACAGGTGCTTCTGACCCTTAGGAAGGAGAAGTTTTATCTTAACCTGCCAAAGTACTCCTTCCTATAGAATCAAGTTATGTTTCTCGGATTTATCGTCTCATAACAAGGCTTGTTCGCAGACCCTGCAAAAGTCCGAGCTATCCAAGATTGGCCAGAACCGCAAACACTACATGAAGCCCGCAGCTTCCATGGGCTTGCATCCATCTATCGGCATTTCATTAGAGACTTCAGCACCCTTATGTCACCAATTACTGACTGCCTGAAGAAGGATAAGTTCAATTGGACTCCCACGGCCTCTATAGCTTTCAACACTATTAAGGAGAAACTCTCAAGTGCTCCCGTCCTGGCTTTACCTGATTTCAACAAGTGCTTTGAAGTTGCGTGCGACGCATCCGGGGTTGGGATAGGAGGCGTTCTAAGCCAAGGAGGCCACCCCATTGCCTACTTCAGTGAGAAGCTTAATGAGGCCAAGCAAAAATACTCCACATACGACAAGGAGTTCTACGCCATTGTTCGCTCTTTGGAATATTGGAAGTACTATCTCCTTCCCCAACAGTTTGTTATCTACTCAGACCACCAGTCTCTCAAGTTCCTTAGCTCCCAACGGCACTTGAATGCCAAACATGCCAAGTGGAGCGAATTCATTCAAGAGTTTACCTTCATGGTCAAGCACCGCCCAGGGGTAGAGAACAAAGTAGCTGACACTCTTAGTCGAATAATCCACGTTCTCAACACTCTGACGGTTAGTGTCATGGGCTTTGACCGGCTCAAGGATGAGTACACCTCGTGTCCTGACTTTGGCATCATTTATAACGAGGTTAAAGATGGCAACCGCCACGATCATGTGGATTTCCTTATCAATGATGGCTACCTGTTCCGTGGGACAAGATTGTGCATTCCCCGCACGTCAGTACGCGATTTTCTTGTTTGGGAATTGCATGCTGGAGGGTTAGCCGGACACTTCGGCGTTCAGAAGACTACGGTCCTAGTTGAAGATAGGTTCTACTGGCCTTCCCTTAAGCGTGATGTTGCTCGAATCCTTTCCCAGTGTCGTACATACCATACGGCCAAAGCAAAGAAGAGGAATACTGGATTGTACACACCTCTTCCTGTTCCTGAGGCACCTTGGAAGGACATTAGCATGGATTTCGTGCTTGGATTGCCTAAGACAGTGAGAGGGCACGACTCTGTCTTGGTTGTGGTTGATAGATTCTCAAAGATGGCACATTTTATTCTGTGCAGTAGGACTACCGATGCCTCACATCTGGCAAAGCTTTTCTTTCGAGAGGTTGTGCGTCTTCACGATTTGCCTACCACTATCGTCTCTGATAGGGATGTCAAGTTTGTCAGCTATTTCTGGAAGACCCTTTGGAAGCTATTTGGTACACAACTGAAGTTCTCGTCTGCTTTCCACCCTCAGACTGACAGACAGACTGAAGTGACTAACCGTAGCTTAGGTGACCTGCTCCGTAGTTTAGTTGGCGATAAGCCTGGTAACTGGGATTTAGTCTTGCCTATAGCTGAATTTGCTTACAATAACTCGGTCAATAGATCCACTGGCAAAAGCCCATTCCAAATTGTTCAGGGTTACAACCCAAAGCAGCCTGTTGACCTTGTTCCCCTTCCCCTGTCTGCTCGCCCTTCTGATTCCGCCGAGACCTTTGCACATCGCCTTCACGATATTCATGCTGAGGTTAGGCGTAAGTTAACTTTAAATAATGACAGGTATAAGGTAGCTGCTAATGTCCATCGACGTCACCAGGAGTTCGATGTTGGCGATCTTGTCATGGCTCGTATACGGCCTGAGCGTTTTCCAAAGAGGCCTTACAAGAAGCTGCATGCTCATGCCTCTGGCCCATTTTGCATTTCCAAGAAGTTAGGGCCCAATGCATACTTATTAGAGTTACCTCCAGATATGGCTATTAGTCCAGTATTTAATGTTGAGGATCTTGTTCCTTACCGGGGCACTTTTGAGCCGCCCCCTTTGTGTTCTGATGATTCTGCAGGTACCTCGACCTACCAAGCCCCAACTCCACCGTTGCCCAAGGTTGCGCCACCTGCCCCAGCCATTGATGCTGTGATGGATGAGCAGACGATATCCACTCCAGCAGGTCCCATTAGTCGTTACCTCGTTCGTTGGAAAGGCTGCACTGATGCAGACACCACATGGCTTACCGAGGATGAATTTTGTTGTATGGACCCCGCCGTCCTTGATGACTTCCAGCTGTCCAACTCTCCAGTGGCAAGTTCTTCCAAGCCCGGGAGAAATGATGCAGATTTTAATTTAACTAATTAATTATTTTTATTATTGTTTATTTTAGATCGTGGGTAGTTACTCCATTCACCCCACTTCCCCACTCCCCTCATTTTATTTCTTTTATTTATTTTATTTCTTTCTTTTATTTATAGTTTAGGGTTTCAGTTTGTGATCAGACTTGGCATTTAGAATTTATCGATCAGTTTTTCTCCCGTTCTCCCTGCTTCTCTGCTTCTCCTCTCTTCTTCTTCCTCTTCCCTAACTTCTCATCCCTTCCAATCCTTTCTTGTTTTACATCACAATGGCTTCTCTGGTTCTCTCTAAGTCACTCTTGCTTTTCTTCTTCTCCTTTGCAATGATATGTCTCTCTTCTTGTATTCCTAGTAGTGAGAAATCCATTCTAAATTACGATGATGATCTTGACAAGTTGACCTCAGAGGAAGACACGCCTGAGCTATTCCGAGTATGGCAGAAGGGATACAAGAGAGAATATCAAACCCTAGAAGAGAAGTTAAAGAGATTTGAGATTTTCATCAACAATGTCAAATATATCAGAGACAGAAATACAGAAAGAACATCATTCTACGACTATCATTTGGGTTTGAACCAATTCGCAGATATGACGGATGAGGAATTCAAAGAAATCTGCTTAATTGAGACAGAGGCCATAGTGGGAGGCAAACCCGGAGAGGCCGATGATGATTACTGTCCAAATGCACTTGATTCCTTGGATTGGAGGGACTTAGGAGCTGTTAAAGATCAAGGACAATGTGGTGAGTATAAATAAACCACTACCTCTTGTTGTCAGCAGATATTAAAGAAATTAGTTAAATTGGTTATTTATAATAAGTGGATACCATTTAATGGAAACTCTGTAACTGTTTAATCACTAAAAGGATTACTTAAAGGCAAAATAAATAAATATTGGAGACAAGATAGGTTAAAATCTTATATTTATGACTAAATTGAATCTCTAACTAGCTCTTATATTGATGACCGAAGGTATTATATTTTTAATTCTTACAGCTTCCTCCAATCCTAGTTATAAAAATCAACTAAAAACAATTTCTTATAAATAAATCCGGAGATAGCATTTACTTTATTTATGGATTTGGATTCGGCATTATACATCTTTTATTATTATGTCATGTTATTTTTAGGGTTAATATAATCTTTAATCCCTCAAGTTTGCCCTCATTTTCGCTTTGGTCTCTTAAAGGGCAAAATGGTCAAACTTTTTATTAAATTATAGGGATCAATATTTTAAATGAAAAGAAATTTGAAGGACTAAAACTTATAGTTTGAAACTTAAAAGATTAAAACTAACACGAGGGTAAACTTAAGGAACCCAAAATTATATTAACCCTTATTTTCATTATAGAGGAAGTTGTTGGGCATTGTCATCAACGGAAGCCCATGAAGGGATTAATAAGATATCCAACAATACACTTGAAAGTGTCTCAGAACAACAACTTATGTCATGTGATCCTTATAATTATGGCTGCCGAGGAGGCTATGATGACAGAGCGTTCGAATATTTCATCAACAATGGTGGAATTGCCTCTGAGGCTGATTATTCTTATACAGCTGAGAATGGTACCTGCAATCACCGAAAGGTCGGTAATATTGTTCTCTTCTTCTATATGGATTACACCTTCTTCTTCTTCTTGTCCTGAATCTGGTTTTTTTTTTTTCCTCTTTTGTTTTTTGAAATAGGCAAAAAAGATCGCTGTTACTATTGATGGCTATCAAAATGTGACTTCCTTATCAGAAAATTCTCTCTTCTAATTTGTGCTGTTTCTAAACAGCCTGTTAGTGTTTATCTGTATTCTGATAGCAAAGACTTTCACTGCTACAAGAGTGTAAGTCATATATATGTGTGACCACAATTAGTTTTATATAAATATATGTATGTATGTATGTATGCATATGGATGAGAAGTGATTAATTTCGTGGAATCCCAATTAATATATATAAACCAGGTGGTTAATTAAATGTTTGTTGTTAAAGCTAATTATGAGTTTGAATTCCATGTTTTTATCATGCATGAAGAGTTTAGATTTAACATATAATGCCAAGTATTCTTTTCGTTCTTTAACTTTATGAAATATTTTAAGTTGGTTACTGAATCTTAGAAAATGTGTTTTCAATTCTGCAACTCAATAACACCATTACAATGTAACTCCATAGGATGAGTTAGTCTTGAATTGGAGTTTTTTTTAATTAAAAAAAGCATTATTTCTTTACATTCTATTATCTTAAATAAAATTATAGAGTAAAATAGAACATTTTTTTTTAAAAATTAAACACTTTTAACAAGATTGCCTTCAATAGGAGGATACCTATGCCTAACAAAAAAAAAAACATAGAAAGATATCCATTTAGCTTGATCCATCATCATCAGCACTATTTCTTCATCAAAAAATAAAGTTGTTTACTTCAACACGGACATACAGGGACTCTTTTATGCGAGACTGCTCAAACATCGGATGTTGCAAAAGTAATCATGTTGTGTTGATAGTTGGATATAGTTCAATTGGTGGTGATCTTAATTATTGGATTGTGAAAAACTCATGGAGAACAGGATGGGGAGTCAATGGTTACATCTGCAAGTATGGGGTATGCATCATCAATTGTTATGCTTATTACCCAACGAAGAAATAAATGGCATATCACTTGCCTTTAAATAAAACCTCTACTTCTGCTGCAACTTGTTTGCTTGGAATTCAATGTTATAAAGGTTCACTTGAATATAGCACTGTTCAAGCATGTCACCTCTGATTGAAAAAGTTTAGCGTGAAATTGTTTGGTTTTTCATTTTTTATTTTCCTTAGCAACACAAGCTCAAGTTCTCTAACGTGCCTTTCTCTGGAGAATTAATATCCCCATGGTTATTAATGGACCACCACATATAACTTCCAATTAGTGCAAGCCATTTTCATAACTAATTAATCATTTCCCTTTTTGAAAAACCCGGTCATTAATTTAAGACTTAATTTAATAATTTGATTAGATTAAGAATAAATTAGTTAATATGGTATATTTTTTTTCCTAAAACACCCTAAACATCTTTCTTAATTCATTCTCTTCCTCTCCTAATTGATTATTAATGGCGGAATATCAATAGGTTAATTTGGAAAAAACATTAATAAATATATAAAATAGGTCTTTTATATATATATATATATATATATATATATATAGGGCTGGTGTCAACTTTTTAATTAAATTCTGGACAGGGGAATATGGCACAGAATACTAATGGTCATTCCAATTTCACATCTGTGGGGACCACTATATGCGCATGCCAATTAAGGTTGTGTGAGCCTCGTGCATATACCGTCTTCTCTTCTTTTTTTTGGCGAAAATGACTTTCTTTTCTTTTTGGTCATATCTTGCAACTTATTCTTTAGTTTTTGACCCAATATTTTGCAACTTATTCTAGTCACATATTTGTTACGTTGATGTGAAATTGTTACTATTAATATATGCACCAGGCAGTTTTCTTGATTACTTCGACAGACTGCGATGCCTCCAAAAAGATTAGAGAATGTAACCTCGTTTAGCTATCAGCCTATCCTCCAAAAATGGACCACGGAAGCAAAACGATCGAAATCTGAGACAACTAATACTGAATACTCCTTTCATCTTTTTTTATAAGGAACTTTGAACTAAATTACGTAGGTCAAAAGACAATAAAAATGTAAAAATGGAAAGTTTTTTTCTCCAAAATATCTTTATTTATAGGTAGAAAGACTATTAAAAAAAGAAAATTATTATAATAAATAAATATATTAACTATTAAGACAAGTCTTTAATAGGGGCAAAATAGAAAATTTGCTACAAAAATTTAAGACAACTTGCAAGTATCGCTTATATTTAGAGACAAGGAAAGAATGGTGGTTATGATGGTTGTTATTTATAAAAAAAAGACAGAGTGAGTACATAATTAGAAAATAGATACATATAGACCCACCTCTGGTTAATTTATTAATCTTAATGAAGAGATAATCACAGGGCTTGAACAAATTAACCTCATTGTCCATAATTTAATAGCAATACGTATGCTAGAAATTTTATGTTATACAGAATGCACATCAAATATAAATTGGTACATATCCTCTGAAATGGACTCCGGTAAGACTTGTATAGATTCGGCATTGATATGTGTGTGTGTGTGTGTCCTTGGAAAATTGGAATATGTTCGGTTCTTCCAAACATGAAGTAATGGACCACCTAAATAATTTTATAGAGATAAAGAATTCGTATGGCCATGAATTGCAAGCCAAGGAAACAGATAAGGTTTTGAAGAGCCCCAGTGAGGTAGAATTTTTCAATGCCATTACCTGGCTTTGTGTGTGTGTGTGTGTGTGTGTGTGTGTGTGTGTAGACTCATCAAATACACAAAGAATACTAAGTCAGTCCCTTAGTATCCAACCCCCTTTGTGTGAAGAATGGCTTCTCTTATTACCAAGTTGATCTTTTATTTTCTTCTTTTGGTATTCTATGATTTGTCACACCTTAAGCACTAACAGCTAGGCTGGTTAATCATAATTCAACAATCTTTAATTCCTTAAGCCATTTGTTATCATCATTTTTTCCGGCCAACAACCTACAATTAGAAGTTTTAACATTGGCAGGAAATCTTGGATTGCCCCGATTGCTCTAGCGATGATTGTGGCCATGATCATGCTGTATTAATTGTGGGATATGGCTCAAAGGGAGTTCAAGATTACTGAATTGTGAAAAACTCATTTGGAACATGTAATATAAATCGTAATGCTTCTTTCCCTTTCGAAGGAAAATCATCAGCAGCAATATGAGGATGGATTCCTCTATGTAGTTATGTGCTAGACATCATAAGTCTTGCACCATAAATAATGTTGCTTGTGGTTTAATTTTCAATAAGAGTCACCGACTCAATTACAGATGCAAGTCTCATGAAATAAGGCTTCATTATCTGTCATCAACCTGTTGCCCAGAATAGATCCATCTCATTATTATGGTCAGTTTGTAAATAAATGAGCTGTTTAATTAATATGTTCAATATAATAGATAGATAATGTGCAGTACTTTCACTCAAAACGCATGAAACACATGGAATTCGTTATTCTCTTGAGATTAGAACTTGTCCCATCACTAACACGAGATTTTTGAAAATGAACAATGCTGGGTTCTTCCCAGAAAAAAAATGGAATAACGGACCAGCTAAGGCATTTCCAAAGATGAAGCGATGGACCACCTCAAGAATTTGCATCATTGTATGGACTTAAATTTTTAACGATCTTTTATAAATATTAGTAGAATTATTGATGTGTTATTACTAAAATTATGAATGAGACAAAATCACAAAAATAAGGGATAGTATAATTTTTTGTCTTTCAAATTGTATCAAAATTTGATTTCAATCCCTCAAGTTTTAAATCACAAGTTTAGTTTTTCAAGAAGCAAAATAATCCAGATTTTTACTAAATTATGGAGATCAGTATTTTAAATGAAAAGAAAACTTGAGTAAGCAAAATCTATAATTTTAAACTTGAGGAACCTAAACTAAAATAAGGACAAAAATTATATTAGTCCTAAAAATCACACAAACTATAACTCCCATATAACTCAAAATATCCTCAAATGGAACGTGCTTGATATGTATGATTTTTGTGTGGTTGCCATTTATATGATTTACCATTCATTCGTATTCTGGAAAAATTACGTTGGATAGTTTTTGAATTACTATAAAAATGTATTGTTATTTACTTTTTAAATGTATTTAATTGTCAGTATAGTGCAGTAAACAAAATTAATTGAAAGTTATAAAATTCAGCAGAATTTTCTTTTGAGATTGTCCCCCCTTTAAGTTTTGTACATACATGAACCTACTTTAATAAAACCTACCAAAAAAAATAGTACTACCTCTAATTCTTAATACAAGAACTAAATAACTAATTTGCAAACATTAAAAAAATTTATTGGGTTAGTATTTATAATAATTGAATGTTGTCTTCCCTAAACTACTTATATTAATCATATATATTGAAACTATCTCCTGATGGAGATTCCTTAACATTTGCAATTACATAGGGATTACGCGAGGGGAAATGGAATCTGTGGCTAAATATTGGAGACAAAATAGATTAATGATTAAATTGAATCTCCAACTAGTTTTTATATTAAGGAGAAGAGTAATACTATTTTGAGTGTGTAAATGTCTATGATTCATGGGTGACATTTTATTTTTGGCTCCCTCAAAAGTAATTAGCAATTTTCTTGGTCTGTTCATGTACGCTTGTTGCGTTCTGCGTTTTTTTTTTTTATTTCATTTATGATATTGTTATACGAAAATGACAAAATAATTAAGCAGGGTCTTTCTGAAAAAATACACACTACTCCGTTGATCCTGAATATGTGATCTTTTTTCTTTTCTTTTTTTTTTGCTAAAACATAGGTATCCTCCTATTGGAGGTAGTCTTATTCGAGGCACTGTCGGGCATTAAATGTGAGCACCTCTTCTCGCGGGGATTCAAACATTGATTCACCATGTTGTGAGAAACTAACTCCTTCTACTAGACCCAACCCCTGTTGCTAAATCTGTGATCTTTTATCTCCAACTTTAAGTAACACATGGTTTGAATTGGGCCTAACTAAAACTGGACATATGTCTGAGTCCAATACCTGGATATAAGATAGCCCAAATAGACAGCAACTAATCAGCCCCAATGGAAGATCAATTGGTGGCCCACTTGTATCCTATCCCAAAATAAAAGAGATTAATTTCTATAATTAGCATGGATTAATTGATATATGCTGTACCACATCACCTACAAATAATAATAAGTAATAACACAAAGTAGGATCATATATTCTGAAATGAAAAATATTTAGGAGTCGCATATATATTGATAAAAGGGTTAATATATTGGTTAAATATGATAATTTAACCAATAAAACTCCCAAAATACCGTTGCCCTTTAATCTGTACAATTATTCCAAATCATGCCCAAATTAATCAATTAAAACTTCCAAAAGCCTAAGATTAGTCACTAATGTAAGTGTTTGGATTTATCAACGTTCCAACGATTTTAACACTTAAGAGTTTAAGAGAAAAATGCTTAATTCAAATACTAAAGCCTCATTTTGAGACTATATTGATATGTTTTAATTTTTACAATTGAAAGGGTCCGGATTTTATAACATTGAATTTGGACCACTCAGATTTTATATGAAGATGCTATATTCGTTAGATAGCTTCTCATGTTTTAATATCTTGTTAAAAATTATATACCAAATCTTAAAAAATAATTATTCATAAGAAAAATTAGCTTCTAAATTTGATTCTCAAAAATAATTTTGCCTCTTATTTTTGGCACTCTTGGTGTTGACAACTTTTTCATTAAAAAAAATAACTTGTGAATTTAATCCTCAAAAATAATTTTTACTTTTATTTTTCGCACTTTCGGTATTCAGAATTCTTTCTTATAAAATAATGGGAAGATTAGAGAGAAGACCCACAGAGAATAATATTTAATGAATAGGGCCATAAAAAAAGTAATTATTTATGAAGACCAAATATCAAAATATAAAATTAAAAGTACTCGATTGCCCCTCCTGTACATTCTCTCTTCCAATCTCTCCCCCATCTTATTTTGAAAATAATATGAAATTTATTTTCTACTAAAATTAAAACCTTCAATCATCCATCACAGGATTTTTTTTTAACTTTTATTTTCAATTAACATCCACGTAATTATATCTTCAATATACTCTATCATTTAATTATCAACATATATGTATTTATCTGTTTGCATCATTAAGCTATTTTTCTTGATTTATATCATCTAAGTTAAAATAAACGCTATACACCAAAACGAAAAAATTAAACACAGTTTATATCTCATCAAAACAAATTGTGTAGGTTCATATGAAGAGAATAAGATGTTACACAGATGATGTCAAAAATTGAAACATCCTAATATATTAATAAAAAATTGAAATAATCTCAATATCCATTTAAAATTTATAAAATGTCAAATTATGAACAAATTAATGTAGATCTTATAAGATTATGAGAAATGAGGCATATTATTTGTAACATATAGTTTATAAATAGATGGTTTGCTTTGTTAGAGTTTTATATTATGCTTATGTATTATAAGACTCACTCCTCAAATTCATCTACAAAGCTAAACCATCTTTGTTTTAATTTTCCAAGAACAAAAACCATCTTATTCCCCCACCAAACACACACACAAAATACTTAAAGAAAGAAATTTATTCTATATATTTATGTCAAAATTGAAAGAAATTCCATTTATTTTAGCAAAATTTAAAAATTTATGTTAGTTTTAAAATAGAATTTGGAGAAAATATAAAAAGATTTGGTTAGGGATAATTTAGTATTTTAAAATTTATATTTTAGTATTTGGTCCTTATAAATAATTATAATTTTTGCAGTCCTTCATAATAAACATTATTCATTCTAGTTCCTTCATGATAATTTTTCCTTAAAAAAATTCAATTTCATTATAAAAAAAAATACCTTATCTTTCGCCTCCAGAAAGCAGCCAATTAGTACGCGTCTATAGGCGAATTTATAGTACTCTAATTCTGATGTCTCCCATCATTGGCTATCTAGGATAATAAAATTAATTTGTTCTTTACAAATTTCTTTCAGAAGATTTTTTTTGAGTTAAAATATTTTTACAACTTGGAGTTGAATTTAGAAATGTTTATATATATATAATAAGGAGTTTAAATATTAAGAAGTGATTTTAAATATCATATTTTTGGTTAATAAAATGTATTATTCAATAGTAGTTATATCATATATTGATATAAGACAGCAAAATTATTTTTGATAGGCCTGATGTCAATGTAGGTTTATTGGGGAGTCATTTTTTCAAAATTTTTTTTAAAATATAATTTTAGTTCAGTAATCTAGAACATTTAATTTTTTTTTCCTATTTTAATCTTCTATTTAATTAAATATCATGAGTAATTTATGTAGTTTGAATTTTCATAAGATAATTTAAAAAATTATTACAATATTTTTATATTTTAATTGGTGAGTTTCTATTTAATTAACTATATTTCTTGATCTTTGGGCATGGAAATAAATAAATTTTTATCATGGACTTGGGAGAAAATTTGAGGAAAGAGAAATTCTTTATAATTATTTAATTTCTAACCATCAATTTTGGAGCAAATTGAACTTTACTTTTTATTTTATTAGATGTCATTTGAGCTGGGTTATTATTTTATAACTAAAAATATTTTTCATATATGCATTATGAATAAAAATTACATCTCTATAATTCTATTCATTAGATCCAACTTACTAATTATGTCTTCTTACATCTCTATACTTATATTCATTAGATCCAACTTACTAATTATGTCTTGTCATGTAAATTTTTTTTAATAATAAAAATTGGCCTTGATAATTTGTTAGACTATTATTAATAATCAAATTTGATTGGTAACTATAATTTTTGGTTCCACACATTTATATTTGAAAGTTCTCTTTGTTGTTTTGTTTTTAAATAACTATTAATTTTTTTTATATGCAAGTATGGATTTTCAATGTTATAATGGTTTAAATAATATTTTCATTACCTCGTCACTTTGTCTATACCTAATTTAGTAAAATCCAATATGGTATCAGAGTTATTTGAAATCTAATATGGTATCAGAATTAAGTTACTCACCATTAATTTATTCTTCAATAAGTCAATATACAATTTTACACTTATTATTGTTTATAATTGTGTCAACTAATTAGTTGTTCAATATTTGATTTTCTACTAACAAATTGTAATGATTATTTTATCAGACATGAAAGAGTAAGTATCTTATTGTAAATGGTGAATGAAACTTGTCTCCTATTCGTTATTTTAGAGATACATGTATGTAAGTCATATTTTCGTTACCCCCCACTTTATGCTTATCATTGCATAAGATACGTTAAAATGTTATTAATAATTATTTTCTTAACTTTGACAGAATTTTTTAATGATGCAATTTTTTTATACTTCCATATTCCTTATCATGATGTGTTGATAATAGGATAGAATTCAGATAAAAGTAATCAATATTACTGAATTGTAAAGAATAGGACCTGATTAGGGACTAAATGGTGACATTTTGATTAAAAGAAACACTAATACTTTTTGAGGGGTGTGTGACAAGAATTACATTGGTGTTTATCCAATAAAAAAAACATCATCAATAAAGCTTGCTTCATGATGTGTTAATCAGTTCAAATAAATGAGAAAAATAAATCTCCTGGTATTTATGGCTGTAATGTTCTGTATAACACATCTATATTCAAAAGTTTTCTTCATTATTTTGTTTTCAAATTAAACAATATGTTATTGTTACATGAGCATGGATTTTCAAAATAATATACTCCTCCACTCTTAAATATAAGATCTATTTTATATTGTAATTTACTCTAAAAAATGAATCTTATATTTAGAATCAAAGAGAGTTTTTTCTCACCTCAAGTGTCTTATTTACTAAAATATAATATGGTATCAAAGTCATTCAAAATGTAATATGATATCAAAGTAATTCAAAATATATTGTGTTATCAAAGCTGGGTTGTAAACCTTCAGGCTTCAGTTTATTCTTCAATTAGTCAATGTAATTTAAAAAATATGTCATGTTTTAAATTTTATAACTTGTAAATTATAACACCTATTTTAAATTTTGTCCAAAATTAGTATATTGGTAATATAAATAATTATAAAATTTTATTAATTTTCACTTTAATATTTTATATACACACACTCACACATATAAGCAAAGAAAAATGATCAAATCTTTAGAACAACCCCAACATCTATCGTTGATATATGTGTTTGATGGAGATAATTCGGTCTTCTTTAATTTTTTTTCTAAAACAAAACTTCAAAAACTTGTTTAAGGATTAATTTTTATTTAAATATTTTGTAAAACAGAAACAATAATTTTTTAAAAAATAAAAATAATCATTCTTATATGTTTTCTTTTTTTTTAATAAAATCATTTTTTGATATGTGAAATTGGGCAATAAGCAGATAACCCCAATTTTTTTCCAACACCTGATGGCTTGATCTCTCATCTGTCCAACTCAAATTTATGCTTCTTCTTCTGGGTGTTTGCCGAAATTAATTTTAAGGGTAATTATTTCAAACAAGTTTTTTTCCAATGATTTTTTGGAACAATTATCTATGTAAACATATATTTTTTTTCACTTTTTTTTCCTTTTCAAAATTTTTTTAAAAAAACAACTTCATAAAACTATTCTAAGAATAGAAAATTAAAAATAGAATCAAGCATAGACCTTTATTTTTCCTTTTTGGTTTTGGATTCTAATTATGATTTTTCTAAAAAAAAAAATTGTTTTGGATTCTTTTTTGCGGGTCTGTCGTATTGCTGGGATATTGATTTAGGGGAAGGAATTTTGTGTTTTGATGAAGGGCAACCTGGAGATTTTATTTTTAAATTTCTTCAATTAAAACGTTAATTTGGCGTCAATGACAAGAAAGAAAACCAAGCCTAAGAGTACTCGATTTAAAATGTCTTTGAAACAAGAATTGGGGAAAACAAAACTTGAAATGTCACAAGATGGATCCATTGATTTGAGCTTAATGGAATAGAATTTTGACAAAGGCAAACACTTTGGTGTTAAATTGTAAAATATTAATGGGTGTTTGCATTACTATTTTAAAAAAAAAACTTTTGTCCTTCACTAAATAAAACTTATCTCACATATAACCCATCTTATACAGTGTAAAATTATTTAAAATATAAGTTAAACCAAATATTTGATTTTTTTCCTTGAATTTTTTTATGAACTTTTAAGTCCTATACTGAAATCAAGTTCATCTTCTGATCTCAAACTATAATTTCCACGTAACTAAACTACAGTGACACTCAACTAACTAAAGAACACCATCTAATTAACGAATTTCTTTAAGTGTAAATTTATTTATTTATTTTTTTGCCAACTTCTTTATTCTTTAAGGGTAAATTTAAAATTTTGAAAGATTCAATTAATTTTACCTGAATTGATTAATTTATGCAAATTTTTTTCATACACCGGAAGGAATTAATCTGTGTAAAGTTAACGAGTCCTCGTAAAAAAAGGCCAATGGAATATGCATATAAAGTCAGCAAACAAAAACGCAATAATACAGTATCCAATGAGTGGCCCTCTGCTCTCTCTAGCGGAATTCCCAAGGTTGCATGATCGAAGTCGGAAGACAGCAGAGGAGGCAGATCTTCTGCACCGTAATAAAAAGAAAGTTAGGGGTATTGAGGATAGAGAAAAAGAAGCTGGAGCAGACTATTTGGTACGCTCTTTCAAAGACACATTGAAGGGGGTGGATTCGATGATGGAGGAAGGGATTGATGCAGAAGCTGTGTTGGAGGAATTGAAGGGCGGAATATCGATTATTGAGCACCCAAGAGGTAAAATTACAGTACCTGAGTTTATTTTGTCACCGAAAGTAGTAGAGCACATTTGCAAACCTTTTGCCCTAAGTCTAATAGTGAGGTTGCTGGGTTGGTCGCTGGGATTGGGGAAGATGGAGGAGAGATTACAAAGAAAGTGGGCTAAGGAGGGGGTCGTTTCTGTAGTTGATCTTAGAAATGATTTCTTTGTTCTGACCTTCACAAATAAGGCTGATTATGATCGAGTCCCTCCTGGTGGTCCTTGGATGATCCAAGACCATTACCTAACAGTGAGCAAATGGAAAAGAAACTTTGATCCGATTGCGGAACCTATTGAGGAAGTGATAGTTGGGGTAAGATTGACAGATTTTCCTTTGGAGGCTTATGATGAGGTGATTTTATCTGCCATTGGTAATCGAATTGGGAAAATAGCAAAAGTGGATTTATCAACTTCTTTGCTCGTAAGGGGTAGTTATGAAAGAATTGCAGTACAAGTTAATTTGAAAGAAGCCCTTCTACCAAGGATAATCTATGAAGGGAAAGAATATATAGTTGAATATGAAGGCTTACACCTCCTGTGCTATAGATGTGGAAAGTATGGGCATTTAGAAAGGATGTGTGCAGAGAGAATGGAAGAGCAAGAGGCTATGAGGGAAGAAGAAAGGATGAATACTGAGGAATTGAAACAGCCTGAGCAGAAGGAGAGGTTATATAGAGCATGGACGACAGTGTGCAAAGACAGGAGAACTTGTAGAGAAGGAGTATGAGGCAATGGGGATGATAGAAAATATTTAGGCTTAAGGTCTAGTGCATTATCTTCTGAAAATAAGATTGAAGAAGATGGCAAAGACATAATTCCAGTTTCAGAACAGAAGATACAAGGTGGAGAAATGGTGGTTCTGAAGAGGTTCAAGAAAAAGACGAGAAAGGAGGAAAGTGGGGAGATGGGGTTGGATAATATGCAGGGAAATGAGAGCCAAATAAGCAAAGAGTTAGTTCTGAAACAGGAAAGGAAAAGGATTTCGTGGAAGAGGGATAAGGAAGGGAAGGAGGCTCAAGATGAGCCTAACAGAGGGGAGCCAAAGGAGGATGTCTGGGTGGTAAAGGGAAGAGAATGCCTTAAAGATTTGGACCTTGATATTATGTATGGAGATATGGGTGGTGAGCAAACCTTCTTATTAAGAGGAGGAACTAGTAGCCAGCCACCAGATAGAATTGATGAGGAAGAGGAATTGGTGGAGCAACAAGAGTCTTTGTAGGATGAGGATAGAGCTATTATAGCTCTAGATTAATGTTTCATTTGGGAATTATTTATTTCTACTTTGTTGATTATGAATCAAAAATTATTAGTGTGGAATTGTAGGGGAGCAGGGGGAAAGGAGTTGGAGAGGGGTCTAAGAATGTTGATTAAAGACAAACGTCCTGATGTCATTGTACTTCTGGAGACTAGAGTTGGTAGTCAGAGGGAAAAGGAGATTTTTCATAGGGTGTGGTTCCAAGATGTCATTGCTATTCCAGGAGAAGGGTTTTCAGGGGGGATTTGGATAGCTTGGCATGGTTGGTATGTCACTCTTACTGAATAGAGACTGAATAAACAGTTTGGAATGTTTCAGATTAAGTTTGGTAATGAGGAGACCTGGAGGATTGTTTTTGCGTATGTATGCCCAAGGGAAAGAGAGAAACAGGACTTCTAGGAGGAGATGGAGAAAGTTGCTGCTGGGGGTAGTGAACCTTGGATGATTATTGGTGATTTAAATGATATAAAGGGAGAAGATGAGAAAAGAGGAGGTGCACCAATTAACCAAGCTAAATGCAGCAAGTTTATGGAAAGAATTGATAAGTATGGATTGATAAAAATATAGTCTTATGGCAGCAATTTCACTTGGAAGGGACCATTGATTTTAGGGTTTGATCTGATTTTTGAGAAACTAGATAGAGGCCTTTATAGTATTGAACGGAGGCTGTTATTTTAGGAGGCAAGGATTAAGGTTTTACCACGACTAGGATGTTCATATCACAATCCGCTATTGTTATACCTGAAGGAAGCAAGGAGGAGTAGGGGAGAAAGGCCTTTCGGATTTGAAGCAGCTTGGATGATGCACTATAATTTTACTCCAATGCTTAGAGAGAATTGGAGGAAAGGAGGTGAAGCTATAAATAACTTGGTGGAATTAAAAGGAAAACTGACAAAATGGAACAGAAACATTTTTTTTTTAAATATTCTGAGAAAGAAAAAGAGACTATTATTGAGGCTGGATGGAATTCAATGAAATTTTGTTATACCGTGAGAGAGCAATTGTATCTTACTAAAGTTGAAAAAGATTTACAGAGAGAGTTAGATGATGTTTTGAAGCAAGAAGAGGTTCTTTGGTACCAAAAGTCTCATGGAGAATGGATAAATGATAAAGATCAAAATACAAGATTCCACCATTTAAGAACCATCAACCGTAGAAGGAGAAATAAGGTGGTGATGTTGATGGGGGAGAATAGAGACTGGATTGAAGATCAAGATGTGTTGAAAAATATGGTAGTTGACTTTTATGGAAAGCTATTCAATTCAGGGGGGAAGGTACTGCTATTCAAATTGTTGGCTACCAGATTGGAAGTACTTTCCCGGCTTTAGAAGAAGAGGATTCAAGGAGTATGCGAGTTCCGGTTTCTTTAGAAGAGGTCAAGGAGGCAATATTCAAAATCGGAGCTTTTAAAGCTCCAGGAATAGATGGTTTTCCAACTATATTCTTTCAGAAGAATTGGGGTGTGGTAGGACAGGAAGTGTGGAGGCGTGTTGAGGAGCTGTGGAAAGGGGAAAGAGAAATGAAGGAAGTCAACGAAACTCTATTGGTTCTTATACCAAAGGTGGAAAGGCCTGAAACTTTAAAGCAAATGAGGCCTATCTCTTTATGTAATGTTATTTACAAATGTATTCCAAAGATGATAGTGAATAAAATAAAGAATGTTCTTGGTAAAGCGATAGCACCTAATCAAGTGAGTTTTGTGCCAGGAAGGCATATCCAAGACAACACAGTGGTGGCTCAAGAGGTTGTGCACTCTATGAGAAATTTGCAAGGACAAAAAAGCTATTTTGCTATTAAAACAGACCTTAAAAGGGCCTATGATAGGTTGAGTTGGCCTTTTGTGAAAATGGTGCTAGAGGAGCTGGGACTGGATGAGGAGTTTAAAAATCTTATTATGAAGTGCATTGACTCTATGACTATGCGAGTGTTGTGGAATGAGGAGAAGTCAGATAAATTCAAGCCGGAAAGGGGAGTAAGGCAAGGAGACCCTTTGTCTCCTTATATTTTCATACTAGGAATGGAAAAACTCTCTCACATTTTTTAGGATGCTAAGAGAGAAGGAAGATGGAAGGCTTTCAAAGTAGGGAGAGGAGGACCAGAGGTTACAATATTTAATGTTTGCAGATGACTTGGTTATTTTTGAAGAAGCGTCTGACCAGCAGATGAATTGTGTTTTAGATTGCTTAGATAGGTTTTGCCTGATTTCTGGACAAAAAGTGAATTTTTCTAAATTTACAATTATGTTTTCAAGAAACATGAAGGAGAAGGATGGGAAAAGGATGGTGGAAAGAGCAGGTTTGAAAGTAGTTGAGGATTTGGGAATGTATTTGGGAATGTATTTGGGAATTCCTTTAGCTTATGGTAAATCGAAATACAAGAAATTCAACTTTGTTCTTGATAAAGTCAAGCGTAGACTCTCTGGGTGGAAGAGAAGGTGCCTTAGTATGGCGGGAAGAGTCACTCTTGCAAAATCTGTCATTGGATCAATCCCTATATACCCAGTGATGGTCACGAAGCTACCAAAGGCAATGACAGATGATATAGAACGAATACAAAGAAGTTTTATATGGGGGCATGATACGAGGGAGAGAAAAACTCACTTAGTTAATTGGCAACAGCTACAAAGGCCCAGAAAGTTTGGAGGTTTAGGAATATTGAATTTGTAAGCTATGAATAAAGCTTGTTTAATGAAATTAGCATGGAGGTTAAAATTGCAGAAAGAAAGTCTATGGAGGAATGTGTTGATTCATAAGTATAATGCTGGCAAAGAACTACCTTCGATTCTAAAGGTACCACAGACAACCCTTTATGGAAGGATCTGGGAAAGGTTTGGGAAATGATGAAGCAGGATGTTTGGATGGGAGTGAGAAATGGCAGAGATACTAGCTTTTGGAAGGATGCGTGGGTTGATGATGGATGCATTCTTCACAGTTTTAGGAGAAATGATAATAGGGAGGGAGAAGATTGGAAAGTAGCAGACTTAGTGCAAGAGGATGGGGGTTGGAAGTGGGATGTGTTGGGAAGATTTCTAAATAACAGTGCTCTGTTGCATATTAGAGCCAAGGTTTCACCATCTAGAGATGGTGAAAATAACATAGAACTGTGGAAAGGAAGCGAGAATGGAAAATTTATAGTAAAGAGTGCGTAGAAGTAGCTGCGTGAGGGAAATTGGGGAGAAAAGGAGAGAATTTAGGAGCTGGTTTGGAAGTGGAAGGGCCCTGAATGCATTAGAGATTTTCTGTGGCTTGTGGGGAATGATAAGTTGCTGACTCATGCTCTAAGAAATCACAGATGGGGAGCAGGAGGGAGTTGTCAGTTTTGTGGGCAATGGGAGAGTTCTCTACATGTATTGAGGGACTGCGAAGAAGCCAAGAAGATTTGGAAGGAAGTTGGAGATAATCAAATGCAAAGAAACAGCCAGAACATCAAAGTATGGTTGCTAGAGAATTTAAATAAAAGCAAAGAGATTAAAGGTTTACCTTGGAATATACTTTTTTGAGTAACATGTTGGTCCCTATGGAAGATGAGAAATATGAAGATCTTCAATCCCCAGGGAAGTCGCGATCTTGTTAACAGACAGGTGAGATTAATTCTAAACTTTTGTGGGCAAATTGCCTCTGCCAAGAGGTTGGGGATGAACATTGAGGTGGAAGAGGAGGTTGATAGTGGTGAGGAGCAAAGACGGGAGGTACCAGATGAAGGTTGGACCAAACTAAACATTGATGGAGCGTGTAGAGGGGAGCAAGGAATTGCTAGTTGTGGAGGAGTGTTGAGAGACTCAGAAGGAAGGTGGATTGCTGGATTCTCTACTCGAATTGGAAGCTGTATGGCAGAAGAGGTGGAAAGTTGGGGAATTCAAAGAGGGTTGGATTTGGCTTTGAACCTAGGGTTGAGAAAGATCCAAATCAAAACGGACGCATATGAAGTGGTAAGAAAAGTGAAAGGAAAGATGAAAGAAGGAATCTTTATAAACCAGTTGTGGGCTCAAATTTATGAGTTGATAAACAGAAGATGGGAAGTTAAAGCTTACTGGATAAGGAGATCTGCGAACACTTGTGCAGATGTCTTGGCTAAGTTAAGCCTTGAAATCAATGAGGAAGTGTGGATCTGGAGAGAAGTTCCTATGCAAGCCTTTGAAGCTTGGGAGACAGACAGGTTGCGAGGTGGAAGAGTTCGGCCTGATGAAAGTGTTGCAGAGGGAAGTGCTGATGTTGGATAGAGTGGTGCTGGCTTAAGGGGTGTGGGCCCTCGTTTTCTAACAACAAAAAAAAGTTAGCAAACAAAATAGAACGTTAAAGTCTTATTTGATTTCTTGTTTGAAAACATTTTTTTATTTTTAAAAACAAAAAAAATTGTTTGACAATTTTTTTTTCAATAGTTCTTTTAAAAACAAAAGAAACATAAATCTGTTTTTAAAAATTAAAAAATTAAAACAATGTTTTGTTGTTTTGTTGTTTTTGTTGCTTTTGTATTTCTTTCTTTTTATTTGAAAAAATTGGAAATCTTTTCTTTTCTTCTCAATAGCTATTTCTTGATTTGAAGACTTAAATTATTATTGAAACTTCACTCTCCAATTTTAATATGTTTATTTTTAATGTAATTTTTTGGAACAATTATCCAAACAGATTTTTTTTATTTTTTGTTTTCAAAACTTATTTTATAAAATTATTTTGAGAATGAAAAAACATAAACAAACAAACCCTAATAAATCTCTTTAAGAAAAATAATCAAAAGGGAAAAAGAATAATCTAAAAGATGCTACCTAGGGATGGGCAAAACTAAACCATAACCAATCACTAAACTAAACAAAACGGATTTTTGGTTTTTCAATTTAGTTATTTTGGTATTCAATTTCAATTCTATTTTTATTTTTCTTAAATTTTGCTGTTAGGGTTTTGGTTTAGGTCAATGATAAAAATTCAGTTGGAAACAGAAAAACCGAAATTTCTCAGTATATATAAAAAATTTTTTGTCAACATATATAATTTTATACATATATATTTATATATCTGTATATATAACATGAAACTAAGTTAGTAATATCCTAATAGGCCCGAGCATACATATAAACCCAGCCTGATGTGTCTTAAATCCTAAGGTCCTATTACAAAGCATTAAAAATGAGTGGCAGAGATTAGGATTGTGATTGAAAAAATTTATTAAAAGAATTTTTAGCATGAAATTGTTACATAGAATTAGACAAACCCATATATATGGGATTGGAAAATATCATAAAGGAAGATGGTATTTTCCAATCCTGCTTTTATGGGTTTGTCTTATTGTCTAATCCTATATGACAAACAATTACCCATGCTAAATACTTTTTAAATAATTTTTCTCAATTACAATTTAAGTCCCTCTTTTTTAATGTTTCATACCAAATGGGACCTAGAAACTAAAGATTACTGGTCATCTTTCATATGGCAGACGCATCCCCTA